ATTGACTCACAAGATAAAAAACTTAAAAGACACAGCCAAATATGACACTAATAATGTTGTTTAAAAAACACAAACCAGCGGCTGGGCTTGTGGCTCAGCAGTAGAGCACTTACCTAGCAAGTATGTGGCCCTGGGTTGGATCCTTAGCACCATATAAAAATAAATAAATACAGGTATTGTGTCCAACCACAACTAAAAAATAAATATTAAAAAAAAAAACACACACACAAACCAGCCAGGCACCATTGTGAATACCTGTAATACCAGCTAGGAGGCTCAGTCAGGAGGATCACAAGTTCAAAGCCAGCCTCAGCAACTTAGCAAGACTCTGTCTCAAAAAATAAAAAGCTCTGAGGATGTGACTCGTGGTTAAGTGCCCAAAAAACACAGACACAGACACATTTATGGGTATATGTTTTCAAATCTTCTCCTGAAATCTAATATTCTCACAAGAAAGGAGTGGAAAGGAAAAAGAAAGAAGGAAGAAGTGTTCTTTTTTTATTAATCCAGCATAATAACCATACCAAAAAATCCTAAAAATGTTAGTATAAAAATTCCAAAGTACATAAGCCAAGGGAAGGGTATTCTAGGAGTATTAAGGATGATCTAGTACTAAGAAATCTGGGGAAATATTTCATCATTTATTAAATAAGTCAGCAACTATAAAGACTTTGGGGAGGCAGATATCAGGGATTGAACTCAGGGGTGCTTAACCACTGAGCCACATCCCAGCCCTTTTTAATTTTTTATTTTGAGACAGGTTCCCACTAAATTGCTTAGGGCCTTGCTAAATTGCTGAGGCTGGCTTTGAACTTGTGAACTTCCTGGCTCAGCCTCTAGAGCCACTGGTATTAGAGGAGTACACTACTGTGCCCAGCTAAGTAAAGATCTATTTTTTTTAATTATTTTATTTTATTTATTCTAGTTTGTTATATTTGACAGAATGCAAATCAATTCATATTATACAAATTGGTTATACACAAAGTAGAGTCACACTATTCATGTTTCCATCCATGTACTTAGGGTAATGATGTCCATCTCATTCCACTGTCTCCTATCCCCACACCCCCTGCCTCCCCCTCCCTCCCATTTGCCCTATCTAAAATTCACCTATTCCTCCCATGCTCCACCTCCATCCCCATTTTGAATCAGTATCCTTATATCAGAGAAGATATTTGGCCTTTGGTTTCTTGGGATTGGCTTACTTCACTTAGCATTATATTCTCCCAACTCCATCCATTTACTTGCAAATGCCATGATTTTATTCTCTTTTTTAAAATATCTATTTTTTAGTTATTTTTTAGGTGAACACAGTATCTTTATTTGTATATGGTGCTGAGGATTGAACCCAGTGCCTCATGCATGCTAGGTAAGCACTTTACCACTTAAGCCACAATCCCAGCCCGATTTTATTCTTTTTTAATGCTGAATAATATTTCATTGTGTATATATACCACAGGGTATCTAGGGTGGATCCACAATTTAGCTATTGTGAATTGTGCTACTATAAACACTGGTGGCTACTATAAACACTGAGGTGGCTAAGTCCTTCGGGTATAAACTGAGAAGTGGGATAGCTGGGTCAAATGGTGGTTCCATTCCCAGTTTTCCAAGGAATCTCTATACTGCTTTCCAGATTGGTTGCACCAATTTGCAGTACCACCATCAACGTAAGAGTGTGCCCTTTTCCCCACATCCTCATCAGTACTTATTGTTGTTTGTATTCTTAATAGCTGCCATTCTGACTGGAGTGAGATGAAATCTTAGTTTTGATTTGCATTTCTCTAATTGCTAGAGATGTTGAACATTTTTCATGTATTTGTTGATTGATTGTGTATCATCTTCTGAGAAGTGTCTTAAAAGAGGCAAATATATTTTATCAATTTAGTTCTTCAATTTCTTCCTGATTAATATAGTTACATCATTAAAATAAAAATAACACATATATCAATGTGTAAGATGTATAAGAATATTTGCTGAAACATTGTTAAATATTTTAAAATCAACAGGTACACAAGGTGGAATACTAAATAGCCATGTATCATTTCAGACTATCTACAATACAGAGAAAGTAGAACAAACATCAAAATACAAAACTTGTTCCTGGATATGTGAAATTTTACTAATAAGCACATGTGATTACTTTTTTAAAATCTAGGGGGAAAAGTGAAGACTCTCATTTTATCCCTATCAGACAAACAATGAGGAAATGTGCAGAGTTTGGGCTAAAAAATAAAATAAATATTAAGAAATAGAAGTAAAAGAAAAAAATCTAAGCAACATTAAACAAAGGACAGAAAACGGTAACAGCTTAGTTTAAGGATTTCAAGAACAGCTGGGCCTATTACTGCTAAACACAATGTACATCCCTAAAACACTCCACTGAAATACTACCAAGAATTTCTAGAGTTTCAGTCTACTCTCTTCAAGAGCTATACAGTCTCTTTCTTAACTCAAATATCCACCTATAGAAAAGATAAATTATCCTATGCTGCCATCTGCTGAGCAGACTTGATGCTAAAAATTTCCACTGAGAATGTTTAAGTATCTTGGCTACTGAAGGTACCAAAGTAAATGATGGAGACAATAAAACTAGAGGTATATTTACAGAGGGAGAAGAAAGAGACATTGGACCAGAGTGATGATAAGAATGTCATTACAAAATGTCTGAGGTTTTAAAAATCAAGAAACAACAGCATCTGCGAATTATTTAGCATTATGGAGAAAGTCACCAAAAGAATGCAAAATAAAAATATTTAAGTAGTTGACACAAAAGGGACTGGAACTAAAGACAAGCACATCTGCTTTCTAGTGTAAGATCTTACTATTTGAACCTGTGATAAGTTATTTTCTTAAGTATGGCACATTTTTTTCAAAATGTAACTATGCCTAAGAATATGAGTTCTTTCTTGGAAGCATGTTTTTTAACTTAGAAGAATCTTAAATGTTTTTAAGACAAGAAATGCATCTAACAATTATAAAACTTAACAATAAGGCAAAATTTCAAGGAAAGAAGATTAAAAGCAATACAAAATTGCTAAGTAGTACACAAAACTTGGCTTATTAAGCATCTCCTGCTACAAGAAATAGTTCACTACTTGTTTATAGAAAAAGTTTACCTTATTATTAGAAACGACAACAAATTGGGGCTGGGGTTGTGGCTCAGTGGTAGAATGCTTGCCTAGCATGTGTGAGGCACTGGGTTCAATTCTCAGCACCACATAAAAATAAATAAAAGTCCACCAACAACTAATAAAAGAAAAAAGAAACGACAACAAACTGCTATTCTGCAGCAGAGTGTTCTGCAAATTTCTATTTAACTAACATTTATTGAGAACTAACTTTATGAATTACTCAATCAGGATTTTCACAAAAACACACATTTTATTTCCTAAAATAAATCACAGTCATCTAAGTAAAGCCTTACCTACTAAGCACCACAACCCTGAATATTTCTAGCCAAATAAGATAAAAGAAAAACCAAGGCTGAGGGTATAACTTGGTTATTGAGCACTTCCATCACATGCATGACACCCTGGATTCAATCATCAGCAAAGAAAGAGAAAAACTCATTATTGCAAAAATTACAAAATTATAATCAAAACATTTATTAACTACAAAAGAGACAAGATACCCAGCATGGTGGCATATAACTCTAATACCAGCCACTCAGGAGGCTGAGGCAAATTTGAGGCTAACCTGGGCAACAGTAAGATCCTAAGGAACTCAGTCAGACCTTATTTCAAAATGAAAAAGGGCTGGGAATGGAGTTCAGTGCCAAAGCACACCTGAGTTCAATCCCCAAAACTGCAAAAATAAACAAGTAAATAAATAATAGACAACATTTGTTATACAAAATTGCTCATTCAGTAGAATCTCAATTTTGTCATAAAGCAGCAATAATATTACAATATGTAAGCCACAGCAATAGTCTCATTATTTGTAGTCTAATATTACTATTCTTCTCTATGTTATTTTTATCTTTCTTTTTTTTTTTAAAGAATTTAACTTTGGGGCTGAGGTTGTGGCTCAGTGGTAGAGCATTCGCCTCACATATGTACAGCCTTAGGTTCAATCCTTAGCACCACATAAAAATAAATAAATAAAACGAAGGTATTGTGTCCAACTACAATTAAAAAACAAATATTAAAAAACAAGAATTTAACCTTTAATTATGCTGTTGTTTATTTGTTTTTATGTGGTGCTGAGGATCAAACCTAGGGTTTCATCTGTCCTAGGCAAGTGCTCTACCTCACAACTCCAGCCCTCTCTATGTTATTTCTATATTGTTAGAATACTTTACTGAAGGTTCATATTACTTTTAAATTTTATAATTATATTCAGATTCATTTCTTGTCATTTTACAACAATTCAAGAGCAATACAAATTACAGTATATTACCCTCGTACTTGTTTAAATGGGAATTTCTGCTTGAATTTGTGAAGAAAATTTCTTTTCATTAAACATCTTCAGTTATATTTTACACAACCAATATTGCCTCCAAATATTTGAAACAAAAATCCAAAACAACATAGCTTAGTACCCGACTCTACAACTTCCAGAAAGAAAAAATTTATCTTCTTCCTTATCCAATGTGATAACTGAAAATTCATAAGTTAAGAAAATACCAGTCACCAACGTAAGTTTGTTCTTTCATGCATCCTGCATCAAGCTTTCTTACTGAAACATGAAGTGACATTTGTAAAACTACAGACATAGAAAAATAAATACCTATTTGGTACAGTTGAGCAATAAACAAGAAATCATAAACTGTTATATTGTGATTGCAAGTATAATTAACCTAAAATCTTTTAAATAACATTTTGAATTGCATTCTAAGAAACAACATATTAAACATAATGTCCTTTAGCTGTATTCTAAGATAATGCTAAGAGAGCGGTAACATTTAAATTATAACTGTATTATGAATATTATAAATTTTATCACACTAAAATTGCCATGTACTTACAAACTAAAGAAAGTAAAAAGAAAAGGCTCACCTTCATCTACAGAAAATTGACAGCTCTTATCGTTGAAAAAAAGTATTTTCTTCTTATCAGGACGATTTACAAACAGTATCTGGTCCCCTAAAGCCTTAAAGATAAAGAAAGATTTTTCAGTAAATTCTACATTACCTTGCACAAAAAAAAAAAAAAAAAATTGTGTACAAAAAAGAATTCTGGACCCAGTTTCAAACCATCTTTGAGTCTCTTTCTTGAACAGTTTTATTTTTAAGGATTGATATTTTAAAACCTTTTGTTTTTTGAGTCCAAAGAACAAAAAGAAAAAAAATGTTAATGGAATTAAACTTAATTAATTACCATTTGGACCCAATGGACCCTTTTATTAATACAAGATACACTATGGGGTCTTTGTGTTCTTACTTTTCCTCTACCTTGAAATATTTTGCTGCTTACTCATTATTACCAATCAATTATTTCTACTTATGTTTTTAAAAAGCATTTTAAAATATGAAAATGGAAGGATGATTAACTCATCTAGAAGTATGATGCAAAGCAGAATAATCATTCTTCTAATGGCATTGCCCACGTACTACAATTATTTTAAGAAGCTTATTATAAGCCAGGTGTGGTGGCGCAAACCTGTTTTCCAGCTACCTGGGAGGCTAAGGTAGAGAACCATTTGAGCCCAAGAATTCAAGGCCAACCTAGATGATATAGGAAGACTGGGTCTCAAAAATGGAAAAAAAGTAAAAAAGAAAGAAAGAAGAAATCTCCAAAAGATTGAAATACTGGAAGAGGCTCTGCTGTCTTTTAGCTTTCGTTGACCAAATTTAACAATTCAAAACTCTGTATCTCCTATCTGAGGAAAAACAAGAAAACTGACAGAATATATTTTACTATTATTAGATGAATCAGAATATGAATTCAAAAAGCCAGTTAGCAGCATTCTAGACTGCTATCTAATGAAATTCATCACAGAAATAAAGTCTTTATTTTTATTTATTTATTTATTTATTTATTGAGTACCAATAAGTCTTTATTCATTGATTTTCCCAGGGAGAGGAGAAGGAAGGGAAGAGTCAGCATGTGTGTTATAAAATGATTAGAAAATAGGAAAGGAAGAAAGTATCTGGGTACAGCAAAATCAAATCATAATATAAAACACCCCAATAGTGGGGGTCACCAAAGCCCAAGGGGGCTTAGTCTCCTGTATTTCAGGAATGAGGGGAAGAGATGAAGGAAAGAACAGATAGGTACATACTTTCCCTCCCTCCCCATAAAATTCAAGATTTCACACAAAGTTTTGGTTTCTAGCAGTAAACATGGAGTTACATTTGTCCGTCTCCTATTAAACAATCTTGTGGCCACTTTGACATAAGTTTCTTGCACCTGAATAAAAGTTCCTGAGTGACTTGAACATACATTCATATTTTCTTTCCTGGTCTCCTGACCCCACTTTGTACATGGAAAGCCCCCAATTGCTTCTCTCTACTTTAGAATTACAGATTAAGTAGGTTTGATCCACGCAAACAGTAGTGTGGTATTTGGCATGAATTGCATCAAGAGCTGGTCTTGACTCAGGAGGTTAGGAACAAGGGACAGGGAATCCCAGCTTCTTTAGGAATTCGGCATAAGTCATTTAAGAGTTGTAGAGACACTCAAAGGGTTAAATGTGTATGTAGGTTTTCTTTTGAGGAAGAAGGTAGGATAAGAGTCAGGCTTTTGGGGCTGGGGATGTGGCTCAAGCGGTAGCGCGCTCGCCTGGCATGCGTGCGGCCCGGGTTCGATCTTCAGCACCACATACCAACAAAGATGTTGTGTCCGCCAAGAACTAAAAAATAAATATTAAAAATTCTCTCACTCTCTCCTCTCTCTCACTCTCTCTTTAAAAAAAAAAAAAAAGAGAGAGTCAGGCTTTTAGGACAGAAGATCTGGCCCAAAATAGCAAACAAGGAAAGAGGAACATAAAAGATGGTTTAAGACCCCCATTTCAAGAAGAGGGCCCCCCAAAATTATGTTTCAGATCCTTTTGCCTGGTGCAGAACCTTCTGTCAAAGATGCTTTGGCTATTTTTCTCTCAATACAAAAAGAAGTTTGTAAACAATAAAACCCCAAAAGAACATGGAGAAAGACCAACACATTATATTTACACAAACTAGGCCACCTAGCAATCACCAACTCAGAGACTTCAGTAAAGTCCTACAAAGCCCAGACAAATATAATAACTAGAGGGGGGCAGCATCTGGGGGAGACAAGAAACCAGGATCAGACACACACCACCCAATGCATTCTATTGCATTTATCCCATTTCAACACAGTGAGGTAGGTTTGCGGTGATCTCACAGCATGTAAATGAAACCCCCTTTCTTTCCTCTTTTAGCTACGGTGACACTACTCATAATTATTGCAGCAGGGCAGGACACTGGCTCTGGGCGCCACAAAGATTCCTTGCTATGGGTCTCCCTGGAAGCCAAGAGTTTTGGAAGGTTAAGGATGTTAAGAAGGTTAAGGATGTTATATAGCCTTCCTAGTACAGCACAGGGTGGGATAAGGGTACTGGTCTTTGAACTCATCCTTACTCTCCTTTTTTAAAAAAATTTAAAACAAAAACACATATACACCCTGTTGTACATGGTAGGCCTAGGCTAATCTGGTGAAGGATGGGTCTGTAAAGCAAGTTCCATGCCCTAGAATTAGACAACCATCACTTAACTTTGGCTTCCTCTTTGGGCCTGCTACCTGGCCCTCACCTCTCAAACTTCTCTGCACCACTTTTTTTTGTTTAGACTAATTTCCAGTTTTCCAGTACAAGGAGATCAAGTCATGGGGCAACTCAATTAAAACCTAGTCTCCTATGAAACATTTAAGATGGAGGGGGTTTCAAGAGGACAGTATAGCAGAAAAGCGAGCTCTAATTGGCAGAAATGAGGTAGTTCGATAGGCTGTGCACTCCAAATGGTTGCTCTCCATGGTGATAAAAATAACAACAAAAATTATTCCTGCTGTGCAGATCTGGAGCTGCTGCCACCTTATCCCTGAGATTGCTCATGTACCTGAGAACACAGTGCAGGAATGAGGGCCTTAGATTAAAATATACAAAAATACAAAACCAGAGGGCCATTTTTTTTTTAATTTATATTAAGAGGAAAAAAAAAGTTAAAATGCACAAGATACGTCATTCGCACACAGATAGAGCAGTTGGCATCCTGGAGAAAGTGGGACCCAAGGTGCAGTTATCCAAGGGAGCAAATAAATAAAATCACATTGGCCCAGAAAGAGTGGGAGTGAGCTAGGAGCAGTGGGTCTGCAGCTGTTTCCCCAACCACCCCTTTTGCCTATCCTCACAACCCATGACTTGGGACAGTTTCCAGCACTATGTCCCAAGATTGGATTATTAGGAAGGAAACAAGATGTAAAAACCCTGCTTTGCTCCTGAGATTGTCAAACAGAATGTGGTAGTTTGTGGGTTGGGTCCATTCATCTGATCTTCTGTATTAACTGTTTCATGCCCTGGTAAGGGAAATATTATTACATTTCCTTCTTTGAAAGGAAAACAACCTCCCTATCCAGGCCACTTTCAAAAGCTAGAGGTTTTGGGTGAAGACTCAGATAAAGCACACAGGTTTTAAGGTAGCTTTGCCCCAAAGCCCTTACTTGCATTTTGATAGAGCATGGTTGGAGTTCCTTTGCCTCGCCCCTTCCCCCCACTGAAAGGGAAGATGGGATGATGAGGGGAACCCCCCGCCTGAGAAACTTGGCACTGCCAGCTACCCCCAACCCACCCTTATCCCCACTTTCTCCACTCTGCGGACTGATGCCTGCTCCTTGAACTCCTGATAGCAAAAGAATAGTCCCCACCCGCTATGGCTCAATTCTGGGCCTCTGCAGGGAGCAGGGCAGGGCTGTGGATCTCTTCTTCTTCCTCCCAGAAATAGGCTGGCTTGCCCTGGGAGCTGGGCCTTCAGTGGACAAGAGGCTACCATATGATTGATGCTTTGGCAGAAGTGGCACTTCTTGGGCTGGGGTGGCTTGCATTCCTTGGCATGATGATCTAGCCCCACCACAGTTGTAGCTCCTGTCTCCTTTGGATCTGCGTTTTTGCATGTTCTTCCCCTTTGGTCGCCTCTCACTCCCAATACAGAACACACCACCAGGGCCAGTAACACGGATGGATTCCAGGCCCTTGGCAGACTTCTTAAAGGTAAACTCCACTGCCTCGCCCTCCTTCAGGCTGCGGAAGCCCTCCATATGCAGCTTACTCTGGTGCACAAAGACGTCCACTGGGGGGTCAAGCGCGACCCCAGCGTGGGCGGTCATGGACGGGAAGCCAAACCCCATGCGCACGTTGAACCACTTACTGAAGCCGGCATCGTGCAGCAACTGCGGTTGTCTGCTGCCCGGGCCGCGTCCACTGGCGCCTCCTCGGGCGCCTTCTCCACCGCCTTGGTGCAGCCACCTGCAAACTGCTGGTTGGACACGGAGCCCATGGTCGTCTGCTGAGCCCGTGGCCCCGGGCCCTTAGTCGGGCGGCTGCTGGCCCCAGAGAAGTCCGCAGGCAAAGGGGTGGTTCGGAAAAGAGGCTGCTACATCTTCCCCCCAAAATAAAGTCTTTAGATGACAACACAACACATAAATCATCTCAATCTTCAGAATCAATGAATGGCCAGACATGGTAGTGCATGATTACCAGTGGCTCAGGAGGATAAGGCTGAAGGATAACAAGTTCAAAACCAGCCTCAGCAACTTAGTGAGGCCCTAAGCAACTTAGTAAGACCTTGTCTCAGAATAAAAAATTTTAAAAAGGCTGGGGATGTGACTCAGTGATTAAGCACATCTAGGTTCAATCCCTGGTACCAAAAAACAAAACAAAACAAAACAAAAATTACTGAGTAAATGAGATACTTCTAAGGAAAAAACAAAGTATTCTCATCCAGTTATTCAACAGAATAAACTTCAGCATACAATATATTTTGTGATAAGAATCTTTATCGTCTCACTCTGATAAAAGGATGTATTATAATATTCTTTCTTCTTTTTGATGTGCATTTGCCAAAATTTAACAGATGTTTGTTATGTTAGAGTCAGTCTCTCTCTCTCTCTCTCTCTCTCTCTCTCTCTCTCTCTCTCTCTCTCTCGTAGTGCTGGGATTGAACTCAGGACTTCACATATGCTAAGGACATGCTATACCAACATGCTAAATTCTTATTAAAATGTATTATGAAACTGTACTTTTTTAAAATATTCATAAAATGACTTAAAATATTTAAAAATGATAAAATTAAGTCCATGGGACCCAAGTGGTAAATGGTTATGACTGTACTGAAGATACTGCTAAAAGAAACTGAGGAAGATACAATTAAATCAACAGACTCCCATGTTCATGGACTGGTAAACTTAATATTGTTGGGATGTCAATACTACCCAAAGTGATCTACAGACCCAATGTATTCCCCATCAAAATCCCACTAACACTTTTTGCAGACATAGAAAAATCCACCCAAAAATTTATATGGAATATCAAGGAACCCCAAATAGCCAAACCAACCTTAAAAAAGAACCAAACTAAAGATCTCACTTTTCCTGATTTCAAAAGATATCACAAAGGCTGGAGTTGTAGCTCAGTGGTAGAGCACCTGCCTATCATATTCGAGGCACCACATAAAAATAAATTAAGTTATTATGTCTAACTATAAATAAAATTTTTAAAAACTCACAAACCTACAACAAATAAACATTGTAGCGCTGGCATAAAAACAGACATATATACACTAATGAAACAGAATAAAGAGCCTAGAAATAAACCTTTGTATACATGGTTAAATGATCTTCAACAAGAGTGCCAATACCACTCAATGGGGAGAGGAGAGCGGCTTCAACAAATGGTGCTAGGGAAACTGAAACATGTAAAAGAATAAAGTTGAACCCTTATCTTACCTCCCTAAACAAAAAATAAACTCTCAGTGGATTAAAGACCTAAACTTAAGACCCAAATTATAAAACTCATAGAATAATATAGGGGAAAGTTTCATGGCATTAGATTTGCTATTGATTTGGACAAGACACCAAAGGCATGTGCAACAAAGTAAAAAATATATATAAATGGGACTACATCCAATTTTTTAAAAAAATGCACCAAAGAATACAATCAACAGAATGAAAAGGCAACCTACACAATAAGAGAAAATATTTGCAAATCATGTGTCTATGAAGAGATTAATATCTAGAATATACAAAGAACTCCCTCAACTAATCAACAATAAAACAACCCAATTCAAAAACAAAGGATTTGAACAGACATTTCTCCAAAGATGAAACCATCAATAAGTACATGAAGATGCTCAAACTCACTAGTCATTAGAGAATGCAAATCAAAACCATAATGACCTCCATGCATGGTGGTGTATCCCTGTAATCCCAGCAGGTTGGGAGGCTGAGGCAGAAGGATCAGGAGTTCAAAGGCAGCCTCAGATACTCAGTGGGGCCCTAAGCAACTCAGGAGAGAGCCTATCTCTAAATAAAAAATAAAAAGGGGTTGGGGATGTGGCTCAGTGGTGAAGTGTCTCTGATACCAATCCCTGTTATAAAAAAATAAAAAATAAAAATAAAAATCTATAATGACCTATCACCTCACACTCATCAGGATGATTATCAGAAATAAAAAGAAAATAACAGTGTTAACAAAGATGTGGAAAAACTGGAACCCTTGTACACTGTTGGAGGACTACAAAATGGTACAACCACTAAGGAAAACAGTATGGCAATTTCTCAAAAAATTAAAAATAGAACTAATCAAATGATCCAGCAATTCTATCTCTAGAAATATATATATTTAAAAAATTGAAGTAGTTTCAAAAGAAACATTTGCACACGTTAACAGCAGCACCATTTGTAATGGGTAAGGTGGAATTAATTCAAATGTGCATCAATGGATGAACAGATAAACAAAAATGTGGTATATACATACAATGGAATATTAATTGGCTTTACAAAGGAAGGAAATCCTGACATATGCTACTACAACATAGATGAACTTTGAGGGTATCACATCAAAGTCAAATACTCTAGTCACAAAAAGACTGGATGATTTCACTTATATGAGTAGTCAAAAATAGAATGGTGACTTGCTGGAGACTGTGAGAAGAGGGAAAAGTAGTTGTGTAAGAGGTACAGGGTTCAGTTTTGTAAAATGTAAAAATTATAGAGATCTTTTGCATTACAATGCAAATATACTCAACACTATTGTACACTTAAAAATGGTTAAGATGCTAAATTTTATAAGTTTTCTACCACAATTAAACTTACTTTTAATTTTAAAAAAGAACAGTATAGATCATTCAATACATCATCTTTAAAATTAATGTATCACATCACAAATACAGATTAGCTGAATAGGACTATGCTGGCAGTTAGAAAACCCCCAAATAACAAATACTGAGGGATGAGTAATCTGAATAGTCACTAGTTTTCTTCCTTCTTTTGTTTTATTGCTTTTCCAAAAACCTTTGTGCTCTTTGCTAGCACTATATCATACATTTCTTCAAAGCACTGTATGATCAACAATGAGAGTAATTATCTTCCATCTCTAAAAGGAACTGAAGAGAAACAATGCAAAAGGGATTTAGCTTAGGTATGCCAAAAAACTCCTTGATAGAACACACCTTTATATTCATGTGTGTGTGTGTGTGTGTGTGTGTGTGTGTGTGTGTGTGTGTGTGTGTACACATAATATATTTGAGGGGGTGCTGGGGATAGAACTCAGGGCCTTGTGTATGCAAGGCAGGCACTCTACCAACTGAGTTATATACTCCCAATCCCCATAGCTTTATATTTTTAAAAATAGAATTGAAATTCTGGGTTTCAAACAATCTTGCTTTAAAATAAGAACAGACTATGTGCTTTTTATGACCCTTTCAGCTGTAATCCTAAGGGAACAGAACCAGGGAAAATAGAGTATCAAAGTGACTTTACATCACAAAATTAAGGAATTACCGGATCATAGCACTGCCACATTAGAAGTAATAAAAAATCTAATGTATAGTAATACTGGCCACTATCAAAATAAAAGAAAGAGTGGAGCAGGAAACATGTAGTCTTAAAAATTTAGATTCAGTAGCTTTACTTTTCAACATGCTCTTAAAGTTCATAATTTATCAACTTTTGTGACATGTCACTTTTCACATTTGTATAGATTAAGTTAAGATATTTTAAGTTAAAAATCTTAGGAGGGTTCTTTTACTGGCAGAGGCCAAGTAGCTCCTAAAGGACCAATCCTCCAACAGAAATCACTATAAAACCCTTAAAATACTTTAAAAATCAAACTACCAAAAGGAACTGAGGTCAACCAAAAGCAGGCAGAAAATGGTGGAAGAAAGAGCCAATCTGCAGTTAAAACTCAATAAAATCCTCAGTGTGTCTAGAGAGAAGAACCAGAAAACAAGAGAATGGGGCAACCACATGGAAAGTGAAAGTAGGAAACTCTATATAATAAATCTGATCAGAGGTAAAAATTCTGCCCAAATCTCTTGCTGCCTTAAAATACTCATGAATAAAAATGCTCCAAGAAGAAGAGTTAAGGCTAAAAGAAAAGAATGGATTTGTCATATGCTGCTCATATGTAATATACATCAGTATAACTTTTATTGAGAGCAACTTCAGCATACCGAAACAGCCAGCCTATTCAACTAATGCTTTTGTGCTTTCATGCAATGTCTACTAGAATTGTTGAAGGAGCTCTTGATTACAAACACAACTTGACAAAGAACATTAATATCGTTGAGGAAAAATTTTCAGAAATATTCTGAAGAATCAAATAATCATACTACTATAGCAACAAAAGAGAGCTAAGTTACACAAAGATGACTACCCTCTTTCCTGCTCTATGGCACAACACATATTTCAAGTCTCTGAGTGGCTATAAACACACACACACACACACACACACACACACACACACGTGTGTGTGAATGATAGAGGCTTTAAAAATGACTTAAATATTTTAAAGTTAAAACCAAGAATATATTTTTAAAAAATATTTTAAACTATTTTTCTATTAAGACACAGAAAGGAAACAGAGGTTACCTTGACAGCTTTCTGGGAATTGGGCAGTCCTTCTTCAATGTCTTCTAAAAGAATTCCTCCTAATCCTCGCTGGTCATGCTGATCTAAGAGCCTAAGTAGGGCCTTCTTATCTTTCAAGTTGTACTTGGGCTTGAAGGCATACTTCCCATCTACTACTTTAATTTTGGGATTGTTGACTAATGCCTGTAACAATGACACCATTTGAGTATATCAACAAAAGGAAACCTCATATGTGTACTATTTATATACATTTTTTTGAGGAGAAATAAACCATCTTATCATAAGAGTTTCGAAGAAAACTGAACCCATATTCTTGTGGAAGACAAAATAAAAATAAAACACCTATTCTTAATAGACAAAGTGAACTGGGTATTACCCATCCCACCTCCAAAGTATATATATGCAACATGAGAAACATTACTCTGGGATGAACAAAGCAATAGTCAGTCCTCCTCACCTGGTTATCACTGGCATTAGCAGCTGTGGAAGGAACTAAAAAGAACCAGACTGGTACATATAAGAATTTTACCTATAATGCCAGCTTGAGAATGCAACTGAGTAAGAATGCAGGAATTACTGAATATAATTATGCTCCTACTCAGTTGTTTTATACAGCTAATAGCAGAAGGAAAGCTCTCCAAGAAAGAGCAACTTTACTTATTTTCTTCTGCAGCTGTCAGTCTGATCCTGAAAGGAGAAAGAGAAGAAATGCAGAAAGGAGAGAGAATAAAATAACAATATAATAAAAATAATCTTTTATGTTGGCACGTCCATGAAATTTCCGTATTAGATAAACCAGCAATTTTAAATGCGGGTTACCATTATTCTCCACCACTAATATCTACTACCATTATGCAACATTCATGCAAGCTGATTTAGACCAAAAACTTTGAGGCTAAAAATCTTGACAGTTTTTCTTCTGGTAATAGCCTAGTAGCTTCTAAAAGACCAAGTACTTCAATGATTAACTGGTTCATTGAATATTATGAAAATGAGGGGGCTGGAGTTGTGGCTCAGAGGTAAAATGCTCACCTAGTATGCATGAGGTACTGGGCTGGATCCTCAGCACTACATAAAAATAAAATAAAGACATTGTATCCACCTATAACTAAAAAATAAATATCTTTAAAAAATATTATGAAAATGAAGAGCTGTAAAATAAATTTAACTGAATTATATTTTAGGAATTTTACATTTGGTCTTTTAGAATCTTACTGGTCCTGGAAAGTAGTCTCCTTTGTTGTCCTTTAATATATAAGCCCAAAAGAAGCAACTATCTGAATGTTTAAAATGTTACTCATATCCCCCACCACCATAAAAATAAATAATACAAAGTGCTATTCATTTCCAAATTACCACTATCAACAGTACTAGAGTTACCCACAAGGATGTATGTTCATACACAATGTTCATACATAATCGTCTTTCTAAGTAACTTTCTAGAGGTAATAATTTAAATATCAAGCCATAATAGTAATAGTAGTAGTACAAAGCATCTTGCTATCCTATGGTACCTAATGCTTTAAATTTCCCAAAACAAAAATATAATTTACAAGCACACAAATTATAAATTTAGCAATTCAAAATAAACCAGTTATTCTGTAAAAATGAAAGTGGAATTGGTATACTGACTTCTTCAAAACTTTTGCTAGTCTTCAAAATTTTTAAGGGCTGAGGCTATAGTTCAGTGGTAGAGCACCTTCCTAGCACATGTGAGGCACTGGGTTTGATCCTTAGCACAACACAAAAATAAATAAATTAATGAAACAAAGGACTTGTGTCTATCTACAACTAAAAATTTAAAGAAAAAAAATTTTTTAAACATCACACACAGTGGGGCACACCTACAACACCAGTGACTTGGGAGGCTGAGGCAGGAAGATTGCAAGTTCAAGATCAGTCTCAGCAATTTAGCAAGACTCTGTCCCAAAATAAAAAATAAAAAAGAATGGGAATGTAACTCAGTGGTAAAGCATCCCTGGGTTCAATCCCTAGTACCAAAAAAAAAAAAAAAAAGAAAAAATTTAAACAAATAGTTACAAAAAATTACAAGAAAATCAACAAGTCAAACAATTTAGAAACATGTATGTTTAACCAGAGGTGGTGGAATGCACCAGTAGTCCCAACTACTCAAGAGGCTAAAGTGGCAGATCACTTGAGCCCAGGAGTTCAAGTCTAACCTTAGCAACATGGCAAGATCCTGTTCCCCAAAAAGAAAGATATATATATGATGTCTGGTGAATAAAACAAAGACTCTTTTAAGAGAAACAAAACAAACACTTATTTTAAGAGAAAACTAAAAAGCATTATCAGATGGTCATGGCTCAGTGGTAGAGCTCTTTCCTAGCATATGAAAGGCCCTGGGTTCAATTCCTAGCAATGCCAAAAACAAACCAAATAGCACTTACAGCAACCATCACTTGGTAATCTACTACTTTTGTAGTGTGTGTAGGGAGTGGTTTTACAAGGAATTGAACTCAGTGGTGCTAAACCACTGAGCCACATTCCCACCCCTTTTTATTTTGAGACAAATTCTCACTAAGTTGTTTAGGGCCTCGCTAAATTGCTGAGGCTGGTGTGAACTTGTGATCCCCTTGCCTCAGTTTCCCAAGACATTGGGACCAACTAATTTTTTTCATAATATTTTTAAGACTATTCTTGAGGCTGGGGTTATGGCTCAGGGGTACAGCACTCGCCTAGCATGTGTAAGGCACTGGGTTCAATTCTCAGCACCAATAAAAATAAATAAAGTCATTGTATCCATCTACAACTAAAAAGAAAAATATTTTTTTTTTAAAAAAAGACTATTCTTACCTCAGTCATTAGCCATTGTTTCTGCTTGAGTCCAATATCTAAATGCTGTGTTTCATCCAAAATTTCTTCTAAAGTTAGAGGATGTGTATCTCCTCGCTGATGCCGTGTCTATTGAAGGAAGAAGTTATCATTAGAAGAGTTTTTAAATCCTAGATGCATTAAGTCAAAGTGATGCATTAAGTCAAAGTTATGCATAAATAAATCTTTTCAGGAATATAGAACATATATTATTTGAGAGAGCACAATGATATGATAGTGATTAGAGCATTAAGTAAGCTAGCACAGTGTCCCACACCTGTAATCCCAGCAACTCAGAGGCTGAGGTAAGAGGATTTAAAGTTTGAGACCCTGCCTCAAAATAAAATAAAAAGGGCTCAGTGGTAGAACACCCTTGGATTCAATCTGCAATATCAGAAAATTTAAAAAAAAAAAGTGTGGACAAACCAGAATCAAACCCATGGCATTATGAAGTCAAAGGATAAACCAAAAACACTTGTAATTCATATCACAAAGAATTAATCTTCCTAATATTTCAACAGTTCCAAAACATAACCTCAAAATATAAACAGAAAAAGAAATGCGAATTACTTTTTTTGGTACTAGATATTGAACCCAGGGGTGCTTCACCACTAGGCTAAACACCAAACCCCCCCTTTTTTTTCTTTTAAATCGTGGAACTGAAGTGACTGAAGGTCAGTGCATGTTGGTTACCAAAGGAAAATATCAGAAATAACAAGTGGCCATCAATAAAGGACAAACTAAATAAACTACAGCACATCCACAGTATCCTTCTATATTCAAAAAGGCAGAAGTGCTCTATATGCTAATCAGAAAAGATGTTCAGGACACATTAAATCTAACAACACTTGTAAATACCAAATGTTGAAGAATGCAGGGAAGAACAGAAAGTCTCATTCACCCTGGTAGGAATACAAACTGCAACAGTCACTTTGAGACAATTAAGCAATCTGGGGTGCAGGGAAAGTACTGGGGATTGAACTCAACAGCATTCTACCTTTGAGTTACATCCCCAGCCCTTTTTTCTGTTTTTGAATATTTTAAATTTTATCTTGAGGCAAGGTCCCCGGTGGGCTTCAAACTCGTGATCCTCCTGCCTCAGCTTCCAGAGTAGCTGGGATTATAGTCATGCACCAACTTGCCTGGCTCAGTTTGACACAATCAGAAATATACTCTTACCATTCCATCAAGCTAGCAATCAAGTTCATTGGTATTTACCCAAATGAGTTGAAAATTTATATACACACAAAAACCTGCAAAAAAATATTTATGGCAGCTTTATACCATACTGCCAAAACTTGGAAGCAACCAAGATACCCTTCAGAAGGTGAAAGGATAAATTGTGGTTCATCTAGACAATAGAATATCATTCAGTGATAAAAAATAAATGAGCTATCAAGTCAAGAAAAGACATGAAAACAAGAAAAAAAAAGACATGGAAGCTTCAATTCATATTAGAAAATGAAAAAAAGGCAATCTAAAAAATGTTTTCTACTCTACAGTTTCAACTATATGGCTTCTAGAAAAGGCTAAACTATGGAGAAAATAAAAACGTCTGGTGGTTGCCAAAGGTTAGAGAGAGGGAGAAACACAGAGAATTTTTAGTGTACTGAAATCACCCTATGATACCATAATGGTGGAACTAACACTATACATTTGTCAAAGCCAGAGAATGTACAACACTAGCAGTGAGTTCTAATGTAAATTATGAACTATGAGCAATGTGTCAATGTAGGATCACTGATTATAACAAATACACTATTCTAATGTGGGATATTGATAAAAAGTAGGAGGACTGTATAAAATCAGTTTTACACTGCGGTTGAAGCCAGAATTAGACAGCAGTCAGTGTAAATAGTTATAAATCGAGTCGGGTCAAGGAGGCCAATTTTGAGTGAGTCTGGGAAGTTGGAGACTGTCCCCTGAGGGATCTTATCAAGAACCTGCCCCTGCTCCAACCTGTTGCCAAGGTAACCATCCCAGAAATTCCCCTCCCTACAGGGAGCTATAAGTCCTTGTCTACTCCATCCTGCCCTTCCCCCTTCAGCCCACCTATTTCCCACCTTTTGGCCATCCCACTGAACATTCCTGGGCCTAGTCACATATGCAGGAAGGAGAAAGATAAGAGGGGAAAGGCAGGAGAACAAAGGAAGCATAGGACATATAAAAAGGGCAGAACACCTTGCTTCTTGGGATACCATGATACCAGCTATAGCCCCTTCTCCCTCGCGGGAGAAGTCTATGTTACCCCTTTTTAAATAAATCCTGCTTCATATGCTTGCCTTGGCATGCTTCTCTAATGTTCAAATTTCAACATGTGGAGAAGTAGGACTCGTCACAGTTAACTGGCGATATCACTGTGATCAAAATATCTGACAAGACCTAATTAGAAGAAAAAAAGTTTTGGGGGGGCTCATAGTCTCATAAGTTCAGTCCATGTTCAGCTGACTCCATTGTTCTAGGCCTGAGATAAGGCAGAAGAACATCATGGCAGAAGGGAATGGGAAGGAAAGCTGTTCAGCTCATAGCAGCCAGGAAGTAAAGAAAGAGAGCTGGGGACAAGAATTCCCAAAAAATCCCCAAGAGCACAATCACCCCACCCTAATGATCTAATTCTTCTAGCTACATCCCACCACTCAGTAATCATTAGTCCATCAAGAGTTAAATCCACTGATTAGGTCACAGCTCTCATAATCTGATCATTTCACCTCTGAACATTCCTAAACTAACATGAGCTTTTGGGGGATACCTCATATCCAAATCAGAGAGGGGGAATATACAAGAATTCTATACTTTCTGCCATATTTTGCTGTAAATCTACACCTGTCTAAAAACTAAAGTCTATTTTTTTTAAAGTGAACGTAAAATAAAAAGTACAAGTTAAAAAAATGTAGTATGAAACTTTTTATATAGGAAAAGGCAAAAATAGTAATATATAAGGCTTGGTATAGTGGCACTTGCCTAAAATCCCAGTGACTCAGGAGGCTAAGGCAGGAGGATAACAAGTTCAAGGCAATCCCTCAGCAACCTTGGCAAGATCTTTCAGCAACTTAGCAAGATCCTGTCTCAAAATTAAAAATAAAAAGGACTGGTGATATGGCTCAGTGGTGAAGTGCCCCTGGGTTCAATACAAACAAGAGTACAAACAACAGCAACAAAGAACATAGAGGGGCTGCAGGTACAGCTCTGCAGCAGAGCTCATGCCTAGTATACATAAAGCCCTGAGTCAATACCCAGCACAGAAAACAAAACAAAACAAAACAAAACAAAACAAAAAAACCCATATTTTTCTTTGTTCCTACATAAAGAACCACGGGAAAAGTCACAAGAAACTGATAAAAAGGGATTACTTGGGGGCTGGGGATATAGCTCAGTTGGTAGAATGCTTGCCTCACATGCCTGGGTTCAATCCCCAGCACCACGAAAAATAAATAAATGGATAAATAAGAGAGATTACTTATAAGAAACAGGACAAAAGAGAAAGGAAATAGGTTTATCAGTGAAAATGAGACCTCTTCCTTTATATCTTTCATACTATTTTTCTTATTCTATTAAGAGATATACTTCTAGCTAGGTGTGGTGGCTCACACCTATAATCCCAGCAGCTCCGGAAGCTGAGGCAGGAGGATCAAGGTTCGAAGACAGCCTCAGTAACTCAGTAAGACCCTGTCTCAAAATTTAAAAAATAAAATATAAAAGGGTTGAGGATGTGACTCAGTGGTTAAGCAACATTGAGTTCAATCACTAACACAAAAAGAGGAGGGATTAGGGGGAGACAGAAATTTCTTATTCAAAATAAAAATAACTCTCCAAAAGAAAAATTCTTTCATGCTCTAACTTTCATCTCCTTGGGCAAATTACATAAACTCTCCAGTCTCTAAAACTATAATAATCATTTCTTAAAACCAAATGTTTGGAAAGCAGAAAAAGACATAAAGCCTAACACATCACACATAAAAACCATTTACTGAGCATTTGCTATTAATTCATTCACTTATTTAGTGGTAACTATTATGTCCTCGGAACACAGCAATGAGATATACTATGAAATGTGAACTACTACTCTGCCTTTCACAAGCTCTCAATAGAGAAGTTAAATATATATCAATGAATGTTAATGGGCAGAACTTTGATGACCAGAATAACAAGGGAAAGGGAGCAGCTACACAAGTCAGTATATAACTCAGTCAATCTGGATGATTCTACAGAAACTTTGCTAAATTTTTAATCTAAAACTCCCATTAAAAAATTATGCTTTGGGGCTGGGGATGTGGCTCAAGCGGTAGCGCGCTCGCCTGGCATGCGTGCGGCCCGGGTTCGATTCTCAGCACCACATACCAACAAAGATGTTGTGTCCGCCGAGAACTAAAAAATAAATATTAAAAATTCTCTCTCTCTCCTCTCTCTCTCTCCTCTCTCACTCTCTCTTTTAAAAAAAAAAAATTATGCTTTGACTGCAAATTGGTGCAACCAATCTGGAGTACGCAGATTCCTTGGAAAACTGGGAATGGAACCACCATTTGACCCCGCTATCCCACTCCTCACTTTATACCCAAAAAACTTAAATACAATGTACTACTGGGACACAGCCACCTCAAGGTTTATAGCAGCACAATTCACAATAGCTAAATTGTGGGTCCAATCTAGATACCCTTCAATAGATGAATGGGTAAAGAAAATGTGGTATATATACACACACCATGGAATATTACTCAGCATTAAAAAAGAATAAAACCTGGGCATTTGCAAGTAAATGGATGGAGTTGGAGAATATAATGCTAAGTGAAGTAAGCCAATCCCAAAAAATCAAATGCCAAATGTTTTCTCATACATGCTGATTCATAATGGCAATGTGGGTGTAGCATAGAAGGAATAGATGAACTTTGGATAAGGCAAAGGGGAGGGACAGGGCATGGGGGTAGGAAAGACAGTAGAATGAGAGGGACATCATTACTCTAAGTACATGTATAAAACCATAAATGGTGTGTCTCTACTTTATGTTCAACAGAGATATGAAAAATTGTGCTCTATTTGTGTAATATGAATTGAATTGCATTCTGCTGTCATATACAACAAATTAGAATAAATTT